GAAAACTTCTCTGTTACTCCCATAAAGTAGCTACCAATTATCATCCCCATTTACAAAAAAGGGCTAAGTATAAACGAGGCGGATAAGTGCTTTTTACAAACGTCAGTAAATAGGAAACAAAACCTGATTTTCTAAATTTCATTAAGGAATGTATTAAAAAGATGACGGTTATCAACAATTTCTTTCAAGTAGGTCTTGTAATTTCTCCCAACAGATGCTGTAATCAGAAGATGGGCTAATGAGAAGTGCGGATGCCCGGAAGAGCCGCCGCGGGGGTTCTGGCTGAGGCAGCAGTCCAGTCACCACTCCATGAAATACTACACAGTCCAGTTCATCCAATTTTCAAAGGTAAGCTAGTCAGTTTATATTATTTTGGATTCCAATAGCCTCACTTCTTCTACAGTCCTGGAAAAATATTGGTATTTATGATCAAACTGACCTTTTCATACTCCACTCTTCCCAGTAGTGTGTAAAAAACCAATTGGCAAGGGAGGTACTAGGAACCCAAACGCACTGGGAACTCTCAGAACCCCTACCATTACAAGTAGTTTTACAACCATCTCTTTTGGTGATTATGAACAGAGTTCACATCCTTCAGAAGGTGCTAGAGAGAGGAATGGTTAGAGAAACGTCCAACTGGCCTCAACTCAATCACCTCGAGATGGATAGAAGCCCCTCACGTTTTCAGGATTCAGCTGAAGGACAGAGCTTACGCACGGGTAATTTTCTAGAAAACAAGGCTTTTGGCATCCAAACCTTCAGTGCATCACAAACTTCCTATTATCTAATACCCACACCCCCCAACTCAGCCATCACTGTTTCTATGGTAACCGACAGAGAAATAGCAGCCTGCCAAATGGCTTTTGTAGTTCCTTTTCCAGCTTGTTTTTCAGTATAGAATTAAAACTATACTGGGAAAAGGACCAGACTAATCTTTACAACAGGGACACGATGCAGTTTGAAAAGTACAACTGGGTTTGGGACACGAGCGTAGAAAAGCTTTAACGAGCCCAGCTTGGGAGAATAAAAAGAAGTTCTTGGGGCTTCCCTGGTGGCACAGTGGTTAAGAACTCACCTGCCAATGCAGGGGACATGGGTTCGAGCCCTGGTCCAGGAAGAACCCACATGCCACGGAGCAACTAAGCCCGTACGCCACAACTACTGAGCCTGCGCTCTAGAGCCCGTGAGCCGCAACTACTGAGGCCTGCACGCCTACAGCCTGTGCTCCGCAACAAGAGAAACCACCACAGTGAGAAGCCCGCGCACCACAACGAACAGTAGCCCCCGCTCGCTGCAACTAGAGGAAGCCTCTGCGCAGCAACAAAGACCCAATGCAGCCCAAAAATAAATAAATTTACAAAAAAAAAAAAGGTTCTTAGTTTCTAAAAAATGTCTACTGAGGTATATTTGGAAAGCTTTACTTTTGTCTTAAGACAGTGTATCCTGACATTGGCCTGAAGATGGATATGATGCTATTCATTCAGGTTGAACTGAATTAACAAAAGAAGGGATGGGGTGAATGGAAGAGCAAGTCTACTATGCCCCCAAGTACCTTATTACCATTAAAGGAAGTGGTAATCGACTCTAAAATCAAAATGAATGAGCAGGAGTTGACAAACTTGGACCAGAGGACAGTGAAACGAGGATCAGCATCTTGGAGTGAATGTTTAATCCTAGGGGTGATGCATGCATGAAGCTGCCTGAGCCATCTGCATGAACCAGAGGGGCAGTGATGCTTAGGAAACAAAGATCTCCTTACCATCTCAGCACAGCGAGAAATTGTTAGGAATGCAGTGTGTGGAACTGGGGCAGCTTTCAGAAGATCAGCAGCTATAGAGAACTACTACTTAAGGTGCCAGACTGCAAAACAAACAGCTGCTGCAGGGGTGGAGGAGTTTGAATGTTAAAAAAAAAAAAGGCTAATTCTCTTTGAAAGTGGCCCCAAACAGATGCTTTTCTGTCTCAAAACTGCATACTTGAATGAGGTACAGGCAATCTCACGATTCCTCTATGTCAGCTTTAGGTGAGAAACTTTGACTCAAGTCAAGCAGGTATTACCTTCTTCTCCTCTGATAGTTTAAAACGAACTGGATTTTGAAAGAGATGCCCTCCCACAACCTCTAGCACACTCCAAATGTCTTGATGACAGACATGAAAATTACAATCTATAGTGGCATAGCGAGACAGGTTCCTAGGAGCTACAGAAAGTCAAGACTCCTACAAATTCCACACAGAAGACTAATTTATACTTTCTATTTTATGCTTTTACTTTGAGTTGTACAATATGAATCATGAGCCATGTTCTCAAAGCTATCACCACAGTTGAGAAAGAAAAGCAGACTGATTTGCAATAAACTTTTCCTTTCAATCCTTCAGAAAAGGGGTCATTATCCTGTGATAAAGATGATGTACTCTAAGATACATTTCCAAGGATGTCAACTCAAAGAAAGGCTTCTGCACTTTAAGTTTAGCTAGATTTGTGGAGCCCATGATTTTTAAAATCTGTTAAAGAAACTTGAAGAAATCCTTCCAAAAGTTTAAACCTGGGTTTTGATTATCCAAGAATGGACCTTATGCGTTCTGGAGGAAAAAAGTAATTTTTAAACTGTATTCATTAATGCATGATTATAATGTCCCCATCTTAAACAAAAGCCAGATTTGAAGGAATACACAACTGCATCAAATTCAATCATAGTTAAGACTATGCTGGAAGCCAAAACTTATTAGAGTCAGTAAGCTGACATACTGACACATTTATATTTCTTCCCAGATCTGTTTCCTCAGTCAACTTTGTTTCAGACAAATTTTCTTACTTATCAGATGTGTATTTTCATCAAATCAGCTACCATAGTTATAGTGCAGATTCCCCTGCTACTAGTGGACAATTAAAGGGACTTAACCACATTTTCAGTGTTTCATGGCCTGTGCTTTCACTCATGTTCACCAAAATAGACTCTAAGAAGCCTTGAGAAGACAATGTTTCAGTAAGTATGGTCACAGAGATTTTGTTCCAAATGGTTGCCCTCAGAAACAATGCTAAGTGGTGGTTACATTTTCCATCCACACACGAACCTAAAACGTAACTGAATTATATTACCAAGAAATAGCTCTTGATCACCATGAATACGTTTTTATATGAGAAAATGAAGACCTTCAGCTGCCTAGAGGGGAAAAGGAATAGTGGTATTCTGGGCACCGGAACACTGTTAACGCTTAATAGTTGGAAACTGCTGGTACAGCAAAATTAATTATCCAGAAAGCATGCTTTGGGAATTTTTAAGCTTAAAATCTATAAACAGGCCAAAAATGTTTTTAAAAAGGGATGATGGTGGTGGTGGTGAATGTACGTGTACAGAGAAGCAGTAACTGAATACTTAAATACTTGGCAACAAAGAAAATAACAGCAAAGACTCGGAGACTCGGATTACACCAAAGATTATATTGGACACACTACAGCTTGTTTTCCAATCAGAAAGCTGGACGGATAACTCTGGGAGGGGGGCAGAGCACTAGCACGGGCCAGATCAGGAGCTCCAGGAGGGGAAAGATGACTTCACCTTACTTATCCATTGCTATAGCCCAGCTCCCAGGACCATGCCTGGCAAAAAGTTTGCGTTCTATATGCCTGGCTTGAGAAGAGGGTCTGAACTTTAAAATGAGACACGTGGTGTTTCTCCACTATTCATACAACAGGAGACTTATTAAGGGCGGGATGAATTCTTCACATGTGTGAACTTGGGATTTAACTGAGTGGAAGCCTACATATGAAAGCATAACCATACCTTGCTTCTCAGGTGGTACTCCCTGGTACATGAGAAGGCTGACTGCCAGTGAAACCGTGAAGGCTATTCAAAGTGCTCAGGGAGCAAGTTCACTCAGTAAGTCACTGGCAACTGACAATCCCTCACTAACACAGACTTAAAGTTTCTGCGCAAACAAAAGCAAAGAAAACCCAGTCAACAGAAAATATACCAATGAAAGGTGCTTAATGGCATAAATGCAAAACAACACAATATGCTTCAAAATTCCATGCTTGGAAACCCAAAAACGTGTCAGAAAAACAGCCCGAAGAAGTATATCTGATGCAGAACAGACACAAGCACTGACTGCCTGATAATTATGTAGTCTGGATTAGGTCATACTCAAAACACAGCCTTGTAGGCCTTCCACACTGACTGGGTCTGGTTTAATGTTATAAACAAAATGACTGGGAACCTTGGTTAGAAAAAAACCACAAATCCTGGAAATAAGATAATTTGGTAGAGATTTGCTCTTTTCTTAGAGTTTCTACTATCCTTCTATCTACCTTAGTCCTAAAGTTCTATACTTTTTGATTTAAAAACACTAACAGCCCTCGTATCCCTCAAATGTCTTGTAATATAGGTAAGAGCTGGGCTGGACAACTAAAGTTATTCTACAGTTTAGCCACTGCTTGCCTGATGATCTGGCTTGAATTTCCTCTCTGAAAGAGTCACAGAGCCACCTGGATTTCAGGAACAGGCTAAGAAGGCAATGAGGATGCCTGTGATGCTCTCTCACAAAAGAGAGGCAACACTGCCATGAAGAACAGTTACTTAAAATTTCAGGGGTATCTTCCTTGAGACTCCCTTCCTTTGCCTCCTTGCCCCCACTAACTTGAACCTTGCATTTATAAGCCCTCCTTCCTAGCATTTATCATAATTCCAATTACTTGAGTAATTAGTAGTATCTGTATACCCCCGTTTCCATGTGGACAGGGACCGTGTCTGTCCTTTCCACCAATGCAAATAAGCCTCTAGCACCTGGCACGCGGCAGGGAGTTTCTGTTGCATAAGTAAATGAACGAATGGCTTCTCTGGAAGTCAAAAGTTAACCATGGGGTAAGCAATCAGTTGAAAATGTTTCATCAACAAAACACATACTCCAATCCCCTAAATCCGAAAATAGGAGGCTTTTAGAGCTCAGTTTTTTTCACAGAATATTAGACGGCAGGAGGAACATAAAATAAATAGACCACTCACTGGTGGGGGCTTCTTCCTCATCTCAAACATGCGTGTGGCACCAAAACTGAGTGAAGCAATGATGGGGCACCTCCCCAACGAAGGTTCGTCATCACTATGCCAGTCCACGCTGTCCTTCTCATTTCGGTAAAGATTGCAAAGCAAGGAGTTGAAGGCGTGGCCGGTGTTCTCTTCAATTTGCTTCTTCAGCATGAGCAGCACAGGATGCCACTGCAATCAACAGGCCAAGAAAAGGGGCAGAGACAGTTCACGTAAGACACAAGGTGGCAGCCACGTGGAAAAACAGGAAGGGCAAAATCAGTCATGTTATAAACAGGGGCATGAAATAAGCAAACCACCGGAAACGTAATAAACATAAGGCTAGAAGAGTAGTTTAATTCTCTCCTGTTATTTCTATTTTGAAGCAAGCTGACCTCTACACTTTTATTAAGGTACTAAATTTGGTATAGAATGTCATGAAGACCAGGCCTATCCACCCATCTCATCCTTTCCATGTTAAATATATGACGCTCGCAGAGAAGCAACTGTCAATACACTCAGGGCAGTCACCTCAGTAAGTCACTGAGGTAGCGTGTGGAGCAGTAAGCCTGGTTTGTCACCACAGCTGACGGGCCACCAAGAGTTAGCAGATGCAGACTGAAGCCTGAGGAGTGAAACAACTCTCCTGCTGGGTGGCCCTCTGTTCCATTCCTATTTTATCAGGAATGGCAGAACTGCTCTTTAAAAAAGACATTTAATATTTCCAGAGTGGCAAACTTCCTAAAAACAGAACCTAGAGGGGAAAAACATTCTACAGAATGGAATCGTAACATGGCTGTGCACTACAGAAGATTTAAACAGAGGCCACAGCCCTGCCTGCTGAGCACCGAGTTCACCCCTGTTTATATGCGCAGCTCAGCATCTTGCCACACATACTTTAGGAAGCTATGAACCCTAAGCTTGGGTTGTAGTTGGGGGCTACAATCAGCACAGCTCTGGTTGTGGTTCTTGTTAGAACTCTAAGTCCTGCCTCCAGGAAACCTCAAGCGCTTTACAGAGCTTCCTGGAGAACAGGAGTTCTCACACCACTGGCAAAGATTATTGAGGTGGGAATTCCCTGGAGGTCCAGTGGTTAGGACTCCGTGCTTTCACTGCTGAGGGCCCAGGTTCGATCCCTGGCTGGGAAACTAAGATCCCGCAAGCCATGAGGCACGGCCAAAAAAAAAAAAAATTACGGAGGGCCCCAAAGAACTTCTGTATGTATGGGTTATAGCTACAATAGTTACCATATTAAAAATTAAGACTAAAAAAATTTTTAATTTTTGGTTAATTCATTTAAAAATAACAACCTCATTACATGTTAACGTATTATTTTATGAAAATTAACTATTTTCCAATACAAAAAATTGGTGAGAAGAGTGGCACTGTTTTGCAAATCTCTTTAATGTCTGACTTAATAGAAGAGCTGATTCTAATATCTGCTTCTGCATTTAATCTGTCACAATATATAGTTTCTGCTGAAGCCTACGAAGAAAACTGCCTTCACACAGGTATGCAGTCAGAACAAGGAAGAATCTTTTATAGCCTTTTCAAATAATTGTAAATATTCTTTGACATTACACCAAAGCTCAACTGAACTGATTTCTTAAAGGTTAGATGCAATGGGGAATCTGAAACTATATCAACAAACTTTTCATATTGTTACATCTAAATCCACTGGTCTAGAGTGCACTTTGAATGGATGTTTTAACCTTGCATGATTCTGTAACATCAAGCACTGGTCATTTGGAAAATATTGGCTCACTGAGTTATGCAGATCCTTTTAATACTGACATATTTCGTTATACAATATCAAAAAATCATCTCCAATATCAAAAAATCAAAAAACCACTGATCTCTTATGAAAAAGCTAAGTAAAGGGAAGAGGTCAGGTTCAAGGTGGTGGATATGAGTTTTTCCAGAATTCCTAATATTTCCTTGAAACTTCAAGTTTTATCATTAGTGACAAATCTTGTCCATTATTTTCCTGGAAGTGACACTTCATTCATTTTTGAGAAAATGTCTGCTGAACACTCAAGTCTGAATAACTAGTTTGTGTGCCAGCTGCTCTTCCAAGTAAAATGGTCCATGACAAAAGTAGCTCGTTCAGCTTACAGCTTAAACAATCACACAAGTGTTTTTCCTTGACAACCATCATACTTGGTTTGTAGCAGGAGTGCCTTATGCATACTTTCCATTTCATCAAACAATTAAAAAAGATCAAGACTTAATAAAACTAATAGTGCTTACTGCTTCATCAAGGGACATCCTTAAATGAAATCAGCATTTTTTCTTGTTTTTGTTTTTACTGGAAGTGCAGGTAGTAAAGAAAACAATGATTACTAGTACAGTTTGGTGGCAGTGTCTTGATTCATGCTAAGGCACCGGCAATTTTATTCACCATTACTTTTGTATCACTAGTGCAAATTCAACACAGTGAAAAATGTCACCTAGTCTTAGCATTACCATACAAATATCTTTGACCTTGTGGATTCCCAGAATGAATTTCGTGGACTTCCTCCAGGGATCTACAGACTCTACTTTAAGAACTACCACTTTAAAGAAGCCCTTCAAGGACTCCCCTGGTGGCACAGTGGTTAAGAATCCGCCTGCCAATGCAGGGGACATGGGTTCGATCCTTGGTCCGGGAGGATCCCACATGCCGTGGAGCAACTAAGCCCGTGTGCCACAACTACCGAGCCTGTGCTCTAGAGCCCGTGAGCCACAACTACTGAGCCTGCGCTCTAGAGCCCGTGAGCCACAACTACTGAGCCTGCGTTCTACAGCCCGTGTGCCACAAGTACTGAGCCTGTGCTCTAGAGCCCGTGAGCCACAGCTACTGAGCCTGCGCTCTAGAGCCCGTGTGCCGCAACTACTGAAGCCCGCATGCCTAGAGCCCATGCTCCGCAACAAGAGAAGCCACTACAATGAGAAGCCCGCGCACCACAACGAAGAGCAGCCCGTGCTCGCCGCAACTAGAGAAAGCCTGCACGCAGCAACGAAGACCCAACGCAGCCAAAACTATAAATAAATAAATTTTAAAAATAAATTAAAAAAATGAAAATAAGGAACCCCTTCAAAGTCCACGTTCTATGTTTGAAAGCAAAGAAATGGATGTTCAGCAAAGGAAAGCATAATGTCCTTATAAGGTATATCCCGTGACTATTGTCAGGTAACACTTCCAGGGAGCATATGTGGAAATCACTCAGCTTCCCTGTCACATGGAAATCATGGTGAAAGCTGGCATTCCAGGTGGGAGGGAGGGAGACACAAGAGTGAAGAGATATGGGAACATAGGTATATGTATAACTGATTCACTTTGTTATAAAGCAGAAACTAACACACCATTGTAAAGCAATTATACGCCAATAAAGATGTAAAAAAAAAAAAGCTGGCATTCCTTGTTATGGATATTAGCATTATATTCTAAGCAGAGGATTTTATTTATTTATTTTATTGAAGTAACACTGGTTTATAACATTATATAAGTTTAATGTGTACAACATTATATGAGTTGGCCAGAAAGGTCGTCCGGGTTCTTCCAATATTTCTGTTTCTATATACCATACTGCGTGTTCAACACCAAAAATTTAGTTTCCATCCATCTCCATACAGCTGATCTCCTTCATCCATTTTGCCCTCCATTCTGCCCCTTCCCCTCTGGTAACCACCACTCTGTTCTTTGTATCTACGTGTTTGGTTTGTTCATTTATTTTATTAGTTTTTTATATTCCACATATGAATGAAATCATACGGTATTTGTCCTTCTCCACCTGACTTATTTAACATAATACCCACAAGGTCCACCCATGGTCTCACAAATGGTAAGAGTTCATCGTTTTTTAAATGGCTGAGTAGTATTCTATTGTGTATATATATACCATATCTTCTTTATTCATTCATCTATTGATGGGCACTTAGGTTGTTTCCATATCTTGGCTATTGTGAATAATGCTGTGATGAACACAGGGGTGTACATATCTTTTCAAATTAGTGTTTTCATATTCTTTGTATACATAACCAGAAGTAGGACAGCTGGATCATATGGTAGCTCTACTGTTAATTTTTTGAGGAATCTTCATACTGTTTTCCATAGTGGCTGCACCAATTTAAATTCCCACCAACAGTGTAAGAGGGTTCCCTTTTCTCCATAGCCTTACCAGCACTTGTTATTTCTTGCCTTTTTGATAATAGCCATTCTAGCAGGTATGAGGTGATATCTCATTGTGGTTTTGATTTGCATTTCCCTAATAATTAGTGATGCTGAGCATCTTTTCATGTTGTCCATTTGTATGTCTTCTTTGGAAAAATGTCTATTCAGCTCCTCTGAGAAGAGGATTTAAAAAAATAAACAGCAATAATAACAGACAAAACTTAGATCAAGAAAACAAATGTTATTAAACTAACATAGGTTAGTTCAAGAGAATAAGTTTCAAAGTAAAATTCCATAATAATGTTAGCAAGCTGTATTTCCTATTTATTTTATGACTTAAGCTTATCTTCATGGCGATAAAGATCAGATGCTAGAATTATACACTTAACAAGAAACACAAGAATGTAAAGGAGGAGGATGAGAGCTTTTCGGCAATGTGACTGAGAAACTAATTAGCACTTCCTTGCCTTGCTTAGGGACTGAGCACTGTGATAACACCAAGTCTGCATTATGTTTCTAAGTGGATATATATTTTTTCTTGGTTATTTTTGGTGGTGAAGGAGAAAAGGAGAAAAAAAAAGAAATAATGAACTAGAGGATTAACTTAGACTCTCCAACCAATACTCTATATACAGATCCCTCAGAAGTGAACGTCTATATTAAAATTCAGAGTCATCTCACTGTTCAGTGAATACATTCTATCCTTAAAAGACATTTGAGGAAATGAGTATGAGAAAATATGAATCACAAATGTAAAAGGACCTATTTAGTGGATTTCAAACAGTGTTTTGTAGAGACGTAGGTACCACAGAGATGTCTCCGGGATCACAGCAGGAGAAAGGAGAGGTCAAGCTGGTAGGACTGCCAGTCAGTCGAGATACTCTTTTATTTTCATACATTGGGTTCATACAAGATTTAGTTTGAAAAAAGACTAAAAGGAGTTTAATTACCTATGGTTGAATCTCTTCCTGTGCTATGGGATACTAAACTTGAGGTAATAACAACTTTAAACTAGTACCCCCAACACATATATACACATTAGGGAATCCCTCCTTAAAAAAAATCTGAGGCGTCACTTTTGACTTTGTTCCAGATGGTATACAAACTAAATTAGCAATAAATGCAAAGTTATGAGCCAGCCAAATTCAAATTAAAAAACTCTAATTTGACAACCTTAATATCCAAAAAAAGAGGCTTGCTTGAATAAATTATGCTACACACAGATTATGGAATACTATGTACCTATTAATACAATGTTGTAAAAGAATATTTAATGATACTAAAATATGTTAATGATATAGTAAAATGAAATGTAGTATATAAATAATTGATTTTATTTTTATAGAAAAATCCTCTACATATATTTGCCTAAAAAAAAAGAAAAAAAAGACTGGAACCAAAATATCAGGTGGAACTATTACCCAAAATTTTGATATTCTTCATATTTATCTGTAGCTTCTAGATTTTCAATAACAGACACATATTACTTACATAATAAGAAAAGGATTATCATTTAAAAAATACTTTTGAAGAGTTGTAAAATGTCTCCAAGCATAAGTGGACACTCAACTCAGCAGATCTGTGTGCCTTATGTTTATTCTAAAGCAGTAGTTCTCAAGCAAGGTCAATTCTGACCCCTGGCAGATGTCTGGCAATGTCTAGAGCCATTTTTGGCTGTCACGACTGAGTGACGGGTGCTTATGGCAGCTCGTGGGCAGAAGTCATGGATATTGCTAGACATCCTACAATGCACAGGATAACCCTAAAAACAAAGAATTATCCAGCTTGAAATGTCAGTAATACCGAGGTTGAGAAATCCTGTTCTAAAAGATTAACTAGAATGAATAAGAACTTCTTCCCCACAGGCTGTTTAATCCTCAGCTTCTCTGCTATGACTGTTGACAAGAAGATAAACTAATTCTGACAGAAACACGGCCAGCAGTCTATGCTGGATTGGCCTAATTCAATTCTCTTCACGTTTCCAAGTCAACTTCAGATATAGAGGGTCTCAATGCTTCCCTGGATCACATTCTAAATGCAGCTGTAGAAACCAGAGCATACAGCTATCTCTTTATGTGAAAAAGCCATGTTCCCTTCAGTCAATATTTTATCCCTGAACATTTTAGTAAAATGGTAGTTTATGATAACAAATTACTAGAAGCTCTAAATGTGTCATATTTCTCTTTATTCCAATGCCATAAGCAAAACTCCATTTTCTTCAAAGTCTCTTTCAATAAAAACATAATATTATTTGCCAAAGGCAAGATTCCAGGGACTAAACAGAGAGCTGTTTCTTGGATCTTAATTCCATCATCTGGGCAAGCTTAATTTATATACTAGAATCTCTCTGTCTGTCATGGAAATTTTTAAAAACAAAAGAAGCAGCAGAGACAAGCCAAAGCAATGGTAAGTTAGAAGTATGAGAACTGCAACCACAGAATGAATGCAAAGTCAACAAGAAAAGCACAGATTTTTTCACAAATGGCAAAAGAGCCTGAGAAGTGGGAAGAAACATTCTGACCTCACTGGTCAGTCATAAGGCTTAGACCCCACAGCAAATATGTATCAGGAGGCACACAGAGGGCTATGGCCGGAAAAGCCCGGGGAAGGGGAGATTAGGAAAATAAATGATTCATTTCTCTGAAATCCTAGAGTCTGGTTCTAGTTCACTGTAGTTCCAGTTTTTTTCTCATCCTCTGTCTTTATCTATGGATCAAAAGCACATCAAGGGTAATAAGCCCAAAAGCTCAGTGTGTGAACCCAGAGGATTTTTTGAACTAGGAATCACCATGCAGCTCTGCAAGGTATCTTACTGTTATTTTATAGTACTCTACATTTATAGTATACAATCTATAAAACCAAACCAACAACAACATTCCAACATACGTGAGGATTTGGTTCCAAAGTGATTCTTGAATAAGTGTAAGGAAGTTCTCCATACCATGCTGTAAGTCTTGGTTGCTGGTAAGTTACATCTAAGAAAGAAAATACAGGGCCTTTGAAATGGTTTGATGCTATTTAAGGTGTACCTATTGAGTGCCAACACCATGCCTTGCAATGTATAAGAAGCTATGAGAAATACAAAGGAAGAGTAAGGACGGGCCCTGACCTTGAGGTTCCACCTTCACAGAGGGCGTGGGATTTCAGGAGTAGAATGGTGACAGCTAAAAGGAGGACGACAAGAGAAGGTACACTGGCAGAAACAGTATGGGTGAAGCTCTGAGGTGAGAATATGTGTGACTTATTTGTGTCAGTGATGACATAAACAAGAGTGAAGGAGACACAGCGCGGAACAGAAGGGTTCAGATTAGGGAGGGTCTAAAATGCAGGCTATGGAGTCTGAACCCTTGTAGGTAGGAACTTGTGGCACCAACGTCCATACAAGAAACAAGACAAACTGTTCACCCATGTGCCACCCTTGTGTAAGCCCTTTTGATTCCAAATGAAGAAAAAAGTGCTCTGACCAATCATAGCATGTAGCTAATTTTAGTCAAAAGGTTTTGATGTCCAATTTATTTGGAGAGGGAGTTACCCATAGATCTGCTATTTTTCCTACAACTGATTTCAACCACTACAACAATAAAAACAACAACAATAAAAGCAGCTAACATTCACTGAAGGCTTACTATGTAGCAGGCATTCTGTTAAGTACTTATCATGCACTATCTCATTTAATTATCACAACAACCATGTAAGATAGGTATCAATGTTATTATTCACTCTATTTTACAGATCAGAAAATCAGAAAACTATTTAACTGTAATTTGTTTAAAATTAACAATTATTTTGAAAGACAGAGCCAGCAATCAAAGCCAAGTCCGTCACCAAAAGCCCTGCTGTAGAAACTGCTGGGAATTAGAAGGCTGCCCTGAAAGAGCTGACTCTCATTCTGACACCGGAGTTACAAAAATGATGCCAGGATACTTTGCCTCTTTCTCCACAGAAAATTTAAATTCACTCAATGTGCCAGAAAGGAAATTCTATGCTAGAGCACAGGCACTCCCCAGTGACCGCCTCTGGTATAGCAGGTACTGTTGCTTGTGGATGACCACAGAGGAGCCTGTTCCAAGTCAGGTAATCTCAACAAGCTCAGTAGAATACTACAGATGCTGAAGCTAAGGGAGACTGGACTCTTCTAGTGAAACTAAAATGAGAATAAAAAGCTGATAAAAAAGGATCACAAAAGAATATATGCCAAATAGAATCAGGAAAAAAAGCTCTGGAAGTTTCTATGAAGAAAGAGGAAAGCTGGCACCATTTGCAGTAATAAATAGTGAACAAACACAAAAGGAGATAAGCATATCAACCACAGTTCAGTCAAACCAAACTTCCTTTGCTTCCCTGAATGCCCATCTTCTGCCACGTTCTGAGAACCACTTGCTGTTTCTTCTGCCAGGTACACTCTTCCCTGTCCCCTTTGACAGGCTAATTCCCACTCATCCTGAGGGTTCCAGTCAGGTTTTGAACTCTGTTTAAATCTGGCTGTGGTGCAAAGAAGCAACGGTGCAAAGAAGCAACGGTATTGGAATACATTCCGGAAAGGAAGACCAAACATCAACAACTGTGATCTCAGAGACCTACTTACCCTCTCTGATGGCAGTCCTCTGTTTCCAGGGAACATCCTGACAAAGCTGTTCAAATACTGAGTCGGCTTCTTTTAAGTCAACAAAGCCAGGATACAAACACACCCTTGATGCAGAAAGAACAGTTATTAACTAAAGAATACAGAAAAAGATGAGTTAGACTCTAATCATTAGCAGAATAAATTAATCTGGATGATGCTTCCTTTCGTGGGGAGATGAAATCATCTTACCACACCTCCAGAGCTTAATCACCCAGATCACGATGCTCCAGATGTAAAATAAACCTCTTTCAAGTTAAGACAAATAAAAGAGGCAATGAAGGATAAAGAGGTACATGACAGCTTTCATAGCTATGGTTCAAATATTACCCAAGCACTGCTTAGCTGTGAAACCTTGGACAAGTTACTTAACCTCTCTGAACCTTGGTTTTTCTCATCTGTAACACAAAGATGATCTCCACCTTATAGCATCACTGTGAAATGTAGAATAACTAATAAAATGCTTGGCCCTGTGTTACTTTAACAATTGGTAGTCTTCTAAGACTATGCTAATTGTAGGGAAAGCAATCATTTATAACTATCAAAATAAACATATCCAAATAAGGGTTCTGTCTCTCATTGAATATACACTTATTTCAACAGTGCCAAGCCAGCTCAAAATTGTTTTGGCTATCTTTTTTTTTTTTTTCTCCTTTAAACAGCTTTATTGAGGTATAATTTACATACTGTAAAATTCAACAAAGAATAATGTCTTCAAGGTTTATCCATGTTGTAGCACATTATCAGAACATTTCTTTTTACGGTAGAATAAAATATTTCATTATATAGACATACTGCATTTTCTTTATCCATTCACCAAGAGATGGACATTTGAGTTGTTTCTACTTTTGCCTACTATGAACGCTGCTATGGACATTCACATGCAAGTCTTTTTGTGGATGTATGTTTTCATTTCTCTTGGGTAAGACACCTAGGAGTGAAGTTGCTGGGTCATACGGTAAATGTATGCTTAACTTTTTAAGAAACCATCAGACTTTTTTCTAAAAGGGTTGTACTATTTTACATTCCCACCAGCAATACAGGAAGGCTCTAATTTTTCCACATCCTCATTTATAATAACACTTATTATTGTCTTTTTGATTAGGGAAATTCTAGTGAATATAAAGTGGTATTTCATTGTGGTTTTGATTTCTGTGTCCCTAATATACTATTTCATTTTAACAGTGCATTTGGCTTTTTTGGATACCTTTCTTAAGAAATGTTCTGAAAGCCCACGGAACACTCTCTTCAACAGCCTTGTTGGTAGTAAATTTTCACTCTTTAAAGGTACATTTAATTTTTTTTAACAAGTAATTTATTAATTAATTTTAACCTGTTGTCCAATTTAAAATGTTTGGATCTGAATTATTACTTTTTTCCAGTTTTACTAAGATATAATTGACATACAGCACTGTATAAGTTTACAGTGCACAGCCTAATGATTTGGCTTACACATATTGTGAAATGATTTTGTGAAAGAGCCAAAGCTCACCTGAAGCCATACCAGGTTAACAATGAGATGTGACCAAAATAATGCAACTGGTTTTCTTGTGTGACTATTAAACTTGCTTTAAAAGGGAAGTTCTGAAAAAGGCTATAATAGCAGTGCCAGTGGACTAATTATAGAGGCTTCCAAGTCCACCAGCAACTCTTTCTAAGCAATTCATTTAGATAGATAAGTTCTGATTTATTTAAATGTCTCATTATTTTATAGTGACATGCATTAAGGTGATGCTTTCAAAATGTTCTGAAACAATGACTAATGCCTAATATACCCTAAATCATATATGCTTTAATTTTATTGAAATCTACCTTTATATAGCAATATGGCATAACTTAATATATATTATATATAATAACGTATGATTAACATAATATGTAATAATATTGGATTGGCCAAAAAGTTCGTTCAGTTTTAAATAAAAATAAAAGACACATTTTCCACTTTCACCAAGAACTTTATTGAACAACGTATTCACCAACCGAACAATCTTTTTGCCAACCCAATACATACAATGTAATCTAACAATAATAATATAATGTAACACAAACAGCACAGAAGTTGAGGCCAGACCCAACTCTAATATTAAATTACTCTGTAGCCTAGGAAAAAGTACTCAATCTCCCTGGACCTCATTTCCTCATCTGAAAAACTGGAGAAGTAAGCTACTATACCTGAGAGGCTTTGAAAATGTTTTGAAGCTAGTATAAAAGGAGATATTACCACATTAATTACTTTAATCAAGGGAGTAGAATATTTTAAGAGACTATAACTCAGTGATAATTATAGTCCCTTTCTAGTGAGGATTCACTTACCTAGATACGCCTGTGGGTGACAGGCTGATTTCATACACACCCTCTTTACTAAAGAAACAAAGAAAACAAAGACTTGTTAGTGTCAAGCAAAGCAATATACTGCACGTAGCGGAAGGAAGGGTTGTCCTGCAGAGCTCACAAAGTCCTAGCTCACCAAAATCACTTCACGACGAAGGCGCACTACGAGGGAAGTACAGCCCCACCTTCTTCTACCACTGAGGTAAGGGGCAACAGTGTGGTAATCATTAATGGCACTGGGATTGGAATCCTGACAAAATCAGGCCATGGAGGCAAAAACCAGGACAATATAAATTCTAGTGCTATCCCTTTATATTTCACCCATAATTCAGGCTGATGTGGTGCAGGAATCTATCACACAAAGGGGTGGCAAATAGAGTACCCCCTTGGAGACTCTGGAATAGAGCTACATTGAACAGAAGCAAGTACAAGGTCCCCATGAGCTAGCTCCACCTCCTGACAGTTCCCACAGACGCCTCGGCTTCCACGGTGATTACCGCTGGGAACCTTCTGAATACATCACCACGTGCCTAACCCCGTGCTTTTCTACATGCTGGCATGCCTCCCCGCCGTCTAGCACCCCCAATCCACCACCCCCGGCTTTGGTCCAGTGGAAAATTCTAACTCATCCTTCAAAATCTCAGCTCAGCATCACCTACTCTAAACCTTTCCTGACCTGTAATCCAGGCAAATAATGTTAGCTATCTCATCCTCTGTCACCACACCACATTACCTACAAGTCTACACTTCCAAGATATTCGGGATTACAACTTATCTGACTACACGTCTATTTCATTTACTAGACTATGGGCTCCTGAAGGGCTGGAATGGGTTATTTTTCTGTTTCCTAGTGCCTGGCACATAATAGATGAGCAGTAAAAAGCTTACTGAACTTAATCAAATGTGCAACAGTACAAAACTGTTACAGATGGGCAGGGCAGTGAGGTCTATAAACCACCATGGTGAGAAAAGTGACCCAGACTGGAGAGGTACCTCTGTCAAGATAACTGTGTCAGATTCTTCTCACAGAGGTAAGTTATAGAGAATAACATAAAGGGACAGTATTTACATCACCCTTTTCCACGTGAGTTAGCAGTTCATGATCTTTGAGCTGGGCTCTTAGGTAGATGTGAGAGCCGCTCTGAGCCAAAATGTAGGCAGAGTTATTATCATAAACATTTAGCACATTTCAAAATGAGTTGCCTATAAAGCTTCCTAGAGTGTGAATATAATATTTCAGTGTGACATATTTTGGGCCACATTTAGAAACGCTCACTTCAAATGTGAGGGACATTTCTGGCTATTAAAAAAAAAAAATCTAGAGACTTCCCTAGGTTCCCTTCCACTTCCTGGCACGGTGGTCAAGAATCCGCCTGCCAATGCAGGGGACACGGGATCAATCCCTGATCCGGGAAGATCCCACATGCCACGGAGCAACTAAGCCCGTGCGCCACAACTACTGAGCTTGCCCTCTAGGGCCCGCGAGCCACAACTACTGAAGCCCAGGTGCCTAGAGTCCGTGCTCCGCAACAAGAGAAGCCACTGCAATAAGAAGCCCACGCACCGCAATGAAAAACAGTCCCCTCTCGCCACAACTAGAGAAAGCCCGTGCGCAGCATCGAAGACCCAATGAGGTCAAAAAATAAAAATCTAGCATAGCTAACTTCAGATAAACAGAATTAACAAACCCTATGGTCAAGGAGGAATGAGTGCTGTCATTTTCTTCTCTGACTTGGAAATTCACAATTGTCCATTTTTTCAACCTGAATGTCCTATCTGTAACAGGTTTCATGGTTTTGTTTCTTCTTTTTACCGTCAATGGAGGCAGCATCACATTTGTGTTTGCAAAACAAAGACTGTTAGAGCTACCAGACTGGGTCTTAAGTGATTATACAGTCCAAACCCTTAATACTACAGACAAGGAAACAAAAGTCCAGAGAGATAGCAATAACTTACCTAAGGACTAGGTAAGTTACCATATCTAACTAATGGCAAGGCCACACTACATACCCTCTTTGAAAGTATGATGACATCTGTGTTCGTTTTAAATTTTTCTAAGATATACAAGTCAATCTGCAAACAGCCAAACAGCTTAACAGTTGTTCACGAGCAACAGCATACACATAATGCTAATTTGCTAAAATAAAAGGATGCTTTCTACTGATAATTTATCTGCATCAGATGGAAACTGAGAAGCAGGAAAAGAGGAATCAAAGCACCTTTCATCATTTTGGAAAAGAGTATTTTAGACACAGATCACTACAAGAGAAATGTTTACTATCATTTAATTGCTCTGGAAGAGTTATGTGGTTTTAAGGAATGAACTGTAAGAGCATCTAGATTTCCAGCAGTTTTCTTAAGCATTGCTAGTAAAATGATACTTACAGGTTTTTCAAAGAGCCATGTTTCAATGACTCAGGAAAAAATCCCTCTCTGTCTTTACCTAGGAGATGTTTTAACTACTATCTGCAGACACAGGAGTGAAACAGGGTCTGGAAATCTACACCAGAGCCAGGAGTTTAATGTACAGATAGCTGGCTGCATTTCCCACACCATCTGCAGATTCAGAAAGGCTTCTCAAAAGACCAAGTTTAAAGACATCTGAGACAGGAATATCCCAGCCTAAAATTTAGACACATTGGCCATTATCTTTTCCAGATGGAAAAACCAGGGTGAGGGAAAGATCCTGGACTCTCCCTTTCACTGTGGGCAATGGTTACAGGAGGGCAGCGATTCACTTACTCGATCACTTGTGGCTCTGGGGCTCTGCGTACCACCTGCAAGGAAAAAGCCAGGTCTGATTTCTGAACGATTCCTAATCCTCAGGGAGGCTTACTTGCAGGATTACTGTATCCTCTCATTTCTAGTCAAAATAAATCAGGTTTAAAACTCTCCCTTTTTTATCCTAAGCTCTCACTATCCCACCAGAAACTCTTGTTTCTGTTCTTCTTAGAACTACGTCACAGTTACTAGTGGGCAGTAAAAGATGACAAAATTAGAATTAATACATTTTCCTAGCAGTCAGCAGCTCTGGAAAAATCATCTTTCCAAGGGATTTTTTAAAATAGAAGATATACTAGGAAATAAGGGGTTTTAATATTACTTATATAATTATTACTACAGCAAGATGCCTGATTTTTAGCTCTTTTTCCCCATGTTATTAAAAAGTGACTCTTCACCCTTTCTTACATCCTTCCCAGTGTGAGAAAAAGCTAAAAAGATCAGGCATTGTAGTAGCTGAAATTTCAATCCAATTCCAGAGATATGTGCTATACTAGCAATTTTTAGGACCATTAGAACTTAGATAACTAATGCAAGCTCTAGTCATGGTATAACCTCTAACCTCTAGTCATGTTACACGTCCTTGCCAAAAAAAATGGGAACTATATATGCCTACAAATTGGGGGAAGACTACAAAGAATCCTCAGACATACTAAGAAACTGATACTCCATATTTCATTATTATTATAATACTTTCAACTCTCTTTTTATTAGTGAGTTTATTCTGTCACTGTTTATTTGAGTGTCTACTATGTGACTGTTGCTTTTATAAATAAATCCTTGTTACTGTTGAAGAAGAAACAAGAATTTACCTCCTGGGGTTCTTTGAACACAAACTGTCTGTCAGACAGACGATGCTCCTTGTTCATCCAGGTTTGGCCAGGTCTCTGTTGGAGATGGTTCTCAGCAGTGGGAGCTGAAGCAAGAGAGAGAAGAGACTCAAACCTTAACATCAATTGAAATGGGAGTCCACTATAAACCAAAGGGATATATATAAAATAGGATGATACTTGTCCAGACACACACACACACACACACACACGAGAACACACACACACACGAGAACACACACACACGAGAACACACACACACACGAGAACACACACACACACACACACACACACACACACACACACACACACACACACACGAGATCCCCACAGGTTCTTGCCTGGCTGAACAATGGCCTGGCTCTTAGCAGGGCCAGCCCAGGCTCCCTGCACTCGGGCTCGCCGTCTTTTGTCCTCCATATTGATCAAGAAGGTTTCTGCTCTCAGCTTTCAGAATATTTCATTCCTGATTCAAACTACACAATGGTATCTGTTTAAAGAAAAAAAAAAAAAGATGTTTTAGTTGGGGTTGTGAGAGCTTGGACTATCAAGGGGTAATTATAATCCTTTCAAGCAGACGAGATGGTTCAATAGCAATCAGAGCTTCTACATGCAATCAACTTCTGACATCACAACATCTCAGTCAAGGAGCCTACTAAGTCACTTGGGGATGCTGCTTTTAATGTTTATCTTTTGCAATGTTTATCTTTTAATGTTTATGTTATCACAGTACTTTCACTTCATTCGCAAGAAAGTAGATGTTAAGAAATTCTAAAACCAGGACCTATCAAAAACCACATTACTCTTATTAGTCCCCCAAGAGCAGAACACAGAGAAACTGTAATACTCCACCTATGAACATTCAGAAATAGGCTAAGACACAGTTTCCCAGGGCATTGCCATATTCCATTATCACAGGCTGCATCAAACTTCCACGGAAGCTTGTTAAAAACACCTATGGCCTGTCTCAGGATGTGATGTAGGACGGATACAGGTGTTTGTCTTTATAACAAGCATTGTAGGAGATGATGATAAACAGGTATGTAAGGCCCACAAAGTTAAGTGGCTTACCCAGTGTCACTCAGGAAATCAACAGTAGGTAGACTAACATTCAAATTTTATTACGTTCCAGTCTTCAGCTAAGTAAAAAATCCACCTCGTCATGGCCAGTGATACTAATTTGACATTTTTGCCAATAAAAGTCTAGCCCACAGCAAATACAGGAGCATGCACAGCTACAAAAAAACAAAAATGGGAAGGGGGGGGAGTATTCCAACCCTGTAATCCATTTCCATCTCAAGTTCTCAAAGGTAACAGGCTCATTTGATAGCTTATTTAGCCTACAGATTCCCAGCTCCACCTCCAGACCTTCTGATTCAGTAGAATAAAGCTGGTCCCAGGAATCTGTATGTTTAACAAATTCCCCCAAATGATAAGTCTGTAAGTCTTCTTATTTAATAAGTGGGGAGAGGACAGAGGCTGCCATCTGCCCAAAAAGTTAATGGCAGAACCAAATACCAACTCTCCAGTCTCACATGATTTGCAGAGTAAGCCCTCATGTGACATTTTCTCTCAAGTGAGGCTTTAAAGTCTTAACACAACAATTAGCTACCGTTCTTGCTATGTTCACAGGGGAGCGATGTGTTACTATTATATGCACGGTACGGCTGTTGAAAATACAGATTCCAGAACCCCATCCCAGGCCTACTGAATTTCCAGTCCCAGACACTGTTAACTAACCCCACCTTCCATGCTGAGATTCTTTACTCGAATTAAGTGTGAGAACCCTGCTGCAGTGCAAACAGCAAGGGTTCTGGCGCCAGCCAGATCTGACACTTCCCAGCTGCATGGCCTGAGGCAAACGACTTAACATTTCTGAGCCTGTTTCTTCCTCTGTAAACAGAAGAACCAATACTTCTCTCACGGTCCAAGTGCGGGTTAAGCGATCCTCGAAGGTAAGAGAGCCTAGTCCTCTCAATAAGGGTTAGCAACTTTCTCTATTTTAGACCCTTCTTTCCTGGGAGGCCCTGAACGAGGTCCCGGAGGTCGCTCGGGAAGGGACCTCAGGGCGGTCCCCACACTCGCAGCCCCGGGCACCCAGCGATAGGCCTGGAGCCCTCACCTGCCGGCGGAGACGGGCGCAGAGGTTCAAAGCCGCTGGTCCTAAAGTAAACTCCGCTGCCCCCGGCCTGCTCCGCCGCCCGCGGTCCGGGGAAGCTTGAGCGCCGCGTACCGACCCCAGCAACTCTCAACCACAGGCCGCGGCGTCAGGCACTTCCTCTGACGTCACGTGCCACGGCCGCCGCTTCCGGCGCCACCTCCTGAAATCCGGGCAGCTCTGCGTTCCCGGTGCCTGGAGGGCCGACTCGCTGAAGGTGCACGTGGTAGGGCCGGGGTTCGAGGGGAGCACAGAGATTGAGCGTGCGGTGGAGCCCCGTGCGGGGCCGGGATATGGCGAAGGTGGGAATGAAGACGTATTAACTAGGCCGAAGTCCCTCTGGACATTCCCCGCACACCCCTAACTAGAGACGTCCAAGAGCCCGCTTCTTTGGTCTGTGCGGAAAGAGCGACTGAGACCCAGCGGGCCTGGCAGAAGGGCGAAGGCGTTGGGGGAACCTGGTCCTGATGTACTGAACAAAAGGATTTGACTTTTATCCCGAAAGCCATTCAGAGTCTAAGATGCACCTCCATTGTGTTGCCACTGCAGCCTGTGCATACCTCGATCACAGCACTTAGACCAGGGCATGGGACCACGCCTTATTCGTTATGGCTCTACAGTGCCAACAAGTTTTGCGTGAGAGAAGAGACCTGGGTTTCCGTCTATACACCATCATTTACTAGGTGTAGAATCTAGGTCGCGTACCCTGCTTCTTTATAAAATGGGCACAGCTTCTGTTGGGAGGATTAAATGAGATAATATATTTAAAGAATTTAGCACAATGCCTGGAACGCAGTAGAAACTCAGTAAATGTTAAGAGTGTCTTCTCTTCAACCCATCTGAGTTCTTGAGAAACATCTTTAAAGTAGCCATGGTAAATCATGTACCTCACAGTGTGAAAATAGCAAAAGTAGCACTAAATTAACTATGTCTGTGCAAGTTATTCTGTGAAAGTCTTTAAAATAAACCTTGTATTATATAATGCTTACCTGCAAGAAGCTCAGTATACCCTATCAATGACCCTGTGTTGTTGTTACTATCAACTAATAATTTGTCAGTGTCTGCTTCTGATTCAGGAACCTTGTATGTATCTTCCAAAGGATGTCATTTCTTTCTTTTCAATGATTATGGTTTTGGAACGGGAACAAAGAAGTCCTGGATTGTCCTCCAAGTAGAACATTTCTTAAAAATCAATCCATGGTCTGCTTGCACCCAAAATAACTGCATCACCTTTAACAGTTTTAACAGAGTCATCTGTATTTTTACCAAGTGCCCAAGGTGATTCTGATGCACACAATGTTTGAAAACCTTTGGGAGGCATGTAGGGTGACAAATTGTTCCGGTTTTTCTGGGACTGAGGGGTTTCCCAGGATGCAGGACTTTAAGTGCTAAAGCTGGAACGGCCCTGGGCAAACTGAGATGGTTGGTCACCCTAGATACATGTGAGTATATAGTTTTCGAAAGATGTTCTGGATGGGTGTTGGCATCCTGGGTTTCCTCATTTCTATTTGCAGTATTTGTGTTTTTGTTAGGGGTGGTAGCAGAGACCATGGGAGAGACAATGAAGGTGGGGTGCGTTACCAGTCACCAGCCTACTGATTCTCAGCCCCAGCCCCATACTTCTCTGCTCTGCTTGCAATACTAGAACGTTTCTCTCTTGCCATTTGGCTCGGTGTTAAGCTTCATCAGTGGAGGATGCTGGAGGGACATTAGAGGGAGAAATGTTAGAGAGAAGGAGCTCTTTCCCCTCACTCCAGAGTGCTTCTCTCAGCTGGCTCTGCAGTGCATGGTGGCCTGCTGTGATTGGCACCTCTCTGTGCGCTGAATTAGTTGAATTTACAGCCTTGTTAACATCTCTTGTGAAGTTAAGACATCATCTGGGAAGGAATGGGATCCCAAAACTTGAAATAGGGAATATCTGCTTGGACCCAGGTGAAATTGACCATCTTGAACATCCAAGTCACCCTGAGCCTCCCTTGGCAGTGGAAGCAGCTTGCCCTCCTGTGTCTGAGGAGACTGGTCATCCTTTGCTTGAAAACCCTGTGAAACCCTCACCTGGAGAGACGACTTAAAAAGTACAGCACAGGTCTGTGCTTCCTGATGGGTGGGAGTCTTCCAGATTTGTGCCTTCCTTCATGTTCTGCCTCGACATAGAGGTAGGTAGTGGCTGCTCCCTATATCTGCTGTTTCTGTATATCAGAGTTTTCTTTTTCCCCTTGTAGGTAACTTAATATTTTTTTCTCCTTGTTCAAATTACTATATGGTTTCTGTCTCCTGTTTAAGTCCTGACTGTTACAGTGTGATTGTGATAGCAGGGATGGGAGCAATGGGTAGCAAATGGCTGGGTCCAGGGTGGGCCTTAAACTGTAGGTAGTGGGGTTGCCTCTGATTTGGACCCTTATTATCTCTGGCCCTTTACTCTTGCACTACCTTCTTGATTCTCTTCACCTGAGACAACCCTCCTGAAGTCCCAGTAGGCACAAATCTGGAAGCTGAAATCAGCGTTTCTCAGCATGTAGTCAGAAGACCATCTGCACTGGAGTCCGTAGGGGATGCTTGTATATATGAAGATTCCAGGCCCCCCGGTAGGTCTGGGGCAGGGCCCAGCAATTTGCATTTTTAACAGTGCCTTGTTTCATTTTGCAAGAAGCTTCACGAGTTCTCTTTACCTTTTCCAGCTGCCTGCTTTATTCAGGTGGTTACTTTTCCACCCAACAGTTATCTCATCCCCTGGATGGCAAAACTGATAGATACTTTACGTGGTGGTAGCTCTTAGAAATGATTCTGGGTGAGGCAACACAAATGTAGCCTGTTTTCAGTTGCTGATTTTCACACCAGACTCTTGCCAGACATTCAATCACCTGCTGCTGAATTGCTGAGAAAATCCAATCCAAGGCAAATAACCACCATCACGCTAGCAGTTCTCAGTGAAGGTTTCATAGAGAAATTCCCAGCTCACGTCTCAACTGCCAAAGGCTTATTAGCATTTCCTGGCTTGAGGGAGGAGGAGGGTGTTTGTGCGGAGGCTTTCCAGTCTCTGTCAACTTTAAACATTGTTGAGGGAGAAAGGATGCTTCCCCAGACTCCAGACAGGAACTCCTCCTGTTCAGTGCCCAGCATGATTGCAGGTGGTGCCAGAGATAAAATCTACCATCGAACCATAGTGTAAATGATATTAAAGCACAGTATAATTGGATGTGAAATTGTGGAGAGCAGACAAAAATCCAGGACAGGAGAGACCACTAGAGGTTATGGGCATCAGTGAAGACCTTTATGGCAAACGGGGAGTTATGTCAAGGTTTTAAAGTATGTAGCATTCATATGGCGCAAAGGTGTTCTGATAGTTAACATTACGCCTGAAAAGGGTTAGCTACATTTCCACGTCCTTGTTTCTAAATAGTAGCAAGTAATATTATTCGTTAACATTTCTTGAGAGCTTCTTGCATGCCAGGTGCTGCTCCGATTACTTACATGCCTACGCTAATGTAATTTCTAGAGCAACCTTGTGTTGTAGGTAATATAAATATTGGTTCCATTTACAAAGGAGAAAACTGAACCACTATGCTTCATGATGCCACCATGCCACTACTCTACAAATACAGGGCAGAATGAAAGCCAAATTAAGAAAGGCAGGACTATTCCTGGAATGATACGTGGAGCCATTTCCTGGGACCTCATAGCTGGTTTCTTTCAGTGACTTCAAAAGTGAAGGGTTGGTAGCAATATAATCCAGCAGACCCTGGGTTATAGGTCGTTCTTAATGGCTTTATCTAGATGGCTTAGCAGATTCCTCTTTAGAGTTACCCAGTCCTCACAGCTGTGTGAACTGTATTATATCAAGTGTATGAACTGTGTCTCAGCCTCACTACTTCCTTGGTGGGTGACTTCAGAAAAGTTACTAAAGCCCTCCCAACCTTAGTTTTCCTCATCTGTTGGATTGTGTGAAGATTCGCTCATACATTCACTGATAGACACATTTAATCAACTAATAATGAGTACTGACTGTAGCTAGCACTGTGCTAGATGCTGGGGACAAAGTTGTGATCAAGACAGACCTGGTTCCTGCCCTCGTGGAAGTTATAGTC